ATTGCTTCAAAACAAGCATCCTTGAAATTCAATTACACATCAGATTATAAAAGCCAGCAAGAGTACTTCACTGTTCAGCAAATATAATACAGAACAATGGGGATTTCAGCAAGGAAGCAACAGTGAGGTTAAAAAGAAATATCTGCACTTACTTCCAAATTCATCAGCTTGACAATTTCAAAAATTTACAGCATTAAAACACAGTATAAATTTCCAGCTGCTTACAGTGCTTGTGCTAGCATGTGGCTTTGAAAGTTAGAGATTAAAAAGATTTAAAAGCACAGAAATGTTAGGTCTTAGGAAGGATTCTGTGTCTGTAAGAACTGCATCAGCACATGATAGATAAAATAGCCAGCCAGTGGCTTGCTTCCAGTAGAACCAATAGCAAGTGCAAACCAGATTATTCATTTGATCCTGACACAGATTCACAGAGCTGCACAGCTGGAAGCCAGTTGGTGTATGGAAAGAACAAAGTTATGGAACAAAGAACATACAGCTGTCAATGGCAGGGTGGACAATGCTCATTACAATAGTGAAAGGAGCAGCCAGTAAGAGACAGAAACTAATTTCTGTTTTGTAGAAGAGTAATGTAATGAGTATGGCAAGAATGCAGCAGTGAAGTCAGTTTTAAAATATGACTGCCAAACAAGAAAAAAAAAATTGCAGAAAGAGAAAAAGATGCATTTGGAAGGAAGATTGAACTTCTGCATTTTAAAGCCTAACATGCAAACTGTAAAAAACGTAGGATTGGAAGGGACCTCAAGAGGTCCTCAAAACTAATCCACCTTCTATTTTCTTAGTTTTCTAGGACAGAAAAAAATACTTTGTCCACTGTTCTCCAAATAGCTTTTATCTTTTGGATGATGCACAATATCTCTTTAGATATCTTGTTTGTCATTAGAACTAGATAAGTTTTTTTTCTTTTTCAGTTTTTTCATAATACGTCCTTCTTCCTTTATTTATTAACTGATAAACCATTGCCAATTAATTTGCTTCATTTTTAAAGGCTGGAAATAAAACTGTCACAATGCCCTACTTAGTTTTCACTAAGTGAAAGTGACAGAATAATTATCTCATATCTCACCTTTAAAGCACCCTTAGCAAACTAACAATAGCCTAACATCATTGACTCAGTATGCTCTCCCCTAAAGCGTTTTTTTTCTTAAATAATCTTCCTATTTGTTAATTATTACCCATTTGGTGTAGACTAATACACACACTGCAAAAGCACTCATATTGGTGAGTATGTTGGGTGGGAAACACCAGCAAGTTTCCCCCAGTTTGTTTTATAAATGATGCTAGTTAAAAGAAGGATACATTTTAGCTTTATCTATAGTACTTTTCAAAATTATCCTTATAAAACTACTAGTAACAGGAGCATGAACATCAGAGGGGGTGAAACCACCACCATCACCAATTTGTGCAAATGCACTCACTGGGAACCTGACACTAAGTGACCTGAAAGTTATGAATGTAATGGGGAGCAAAAGAAATAAACATTCTAATTTTTTTAAGCTGGTATTTAAACATGAGCACAATGACTGCTAAGGAGCTCTGATAAGATAGCTTCAACATTATCTCAAACTTTTAATTAAAATTAAATTAGACCTCTACAATTACCTAAATGTGCTTAAAACTACTGAAAGAACTGAAACACTACCACTGAAAGAAACTGAAAGATTACCACTGATTCAAGAATACTTAACCATATTGTTATTTTCCCTGAACCACTTCTTCAATAATAACAGTATCATTAGCCTCACCCTTTAGATTATGCAAAGATACAGAACAGTAATTTATAGAAAACATGGAGGCAGAACTGAGTACAAACCTGTAATCTTGTTTCAAGGGCTCGGACAGTAAGAAAACCATTCTCTTGCAATCCTTCTGCAGCAGGAACATCATGTTTATAATTGATACCACTCTGAAAATAAAAACAAAAACAAAACCCTAAATGAAGTAAAAAGCTGAAAGTAAGGTACAGGCTATTAGATAGTATTATAAAAATCTGGGGGAAAATACAGCAGAAGAAAAGCCAGGAGAATCACAGTATGTCTTTTAAAAGAAAAATCCTATTGTCTGAAAGCAATTAGAACTTGATACTACATAAAGGAAAGACCCAACTATGAGAAGATAATTAACAAGCACTATGGCCTTAATTAAATTAAGGGTCCTTAGCAAAAAGGTAAGCACTGTGGCAAAACTATGTGAAGCATTTTCAACTGCATTAATTTTCCAACAGAATATGGATACAATCATAGAAGCAAAATAATGTCTTCAGATAATTTAAAATTACAGCAGGAAATATTATATTCCAACTTCAGGGCATTCCACAGCACACATCCAGTTTTACTTTGCATCAATACTTCAATGGTTTGTTGAGGTTTTCTTAATTTAGTAAGCACAGACTGAGTAGCTGAGAAAACACAAGCTCAACTTACTGCATAGTTGACCTCCCCAAGATCTGTTATTTTGAATGTACTTAACACGTCTGTATTGGAGTCATCATCAAAAAGCAGTAACAGCTGCTCACTTCCAGAGCTAATAAAATCATCCACCAGAACACACTTCACTTTTTGCCATTTGGAAGCCACCTACAGTAGAAGAGGTTTTAAAAGACATTTATTAGAATAAATCTTGTATTTGAGATCTCATTTTGGTGAAGCTTGCCTTCCATTAAGAGGGAGCCTATTCAGTTGTGTGAAATACAGTAATATTTAGAATTTTCAAACTCCCACTCTCACCCCATTATTTAGAGCCTATATAACGCTGGGAAAAATTAGCCATTTATCTTTAGAGATCACTTTCCAGATTACAAGTTGCAGAGAAGATGACAACTTTTCCGTGTATTCAAACAGCTGAACAGCTGAATGTTGTAAAATTTATTTAGAAGCAGCAATATTTGAAGATCAGTTAAAGGCATTATACCTTTGATGTTGAGAAGTATCTTTGTTTCACAACAATAAAGCAAGATATACAAAAAAAGACCGCAGTAAAATGCAGCTGTTTAAAGCCACCAGTACCTGTAAGCTGTCTCTCCTCTGTACAACACAGCTGTTTCCAGATGCAAAAGACACAACAAATAGCAAATCGTTGCTACTGGTTAGAGCTGGTTTTACTGAACATGGATTTTCGTAAGGAAGCTCACAAACACCTTTAGGGGCACCATTTTGGAACCAAAGAAGCTGGTTCTTGTGGGTTATGGCAACAAGTGATATTCGGAGCTGTTGTTTCAATCTCTCACTCTTGCAGACGTAGACAGAAGATACCACTCTGCTGTAAGCATGAGGCATGAAGCACGTGCCACTCAATGTTTTTTGTGTTTGAATTGCATATCCAAAGAATTCACTACCCCAGATGGCTCTGTCTGAAACAGAAAACCCATCTGGATCTTCAGTCTCTGGGAGGCAAGCAGTTCTTACCCCTAAGACAACAGTGCCTTCACCCACAATTTCACCTGTCCACACTACAGAAGAGAGCTGAACAGGAGCACTTTGAACCAGGCACGTATTGGAAGAGATGTAGAACAGCTTGTTCGCATGTCTCCACAACAATGATGGGCCAGCAAACAACCTGATGTCTTCTTTCAGCTCGTAATCCAATCTAAAATAAAAGGACGGCTCAAATTGGTTTGAACTGTGAAGCAACAATAGAAAGTATTTGACATTGTTCCGTTTTTTCTTCTTCATCAAAATGCAGGGAAGAATAATCCCTGTTCTGGAATCCGTTGTGCAGCTACAACAAATAATTTCAACTTTTGAGTGACTGGCTCCCATGCTGAATACTCCAGAAGACTTCTGTACAAACAGCTTAGTGTCTCTATTGAATGCCATTCTTCTGACACATAAATTTATTGTTTCATCATCTGCTTCCTCTGCGTGTTTTGGTTTTGTCAACTGAAATACAAGGACTTCACCATTGTAGGACAAGAATTGATCTTGCTCACTTAGAAGCATCTTGATTTATCTTTATGCATATTCCTCTACAAGAAGATCATGTGTGTCCTTATTTGTCAGGCTTATTTCTTTGTGGAAATTTTAACCTTTCTGGACATCTTCCAGCTACAAAAGCAAATAAGAAAAAAATGAAATTGTTTTGGGACTAGCTGAACTGAATAACTTAAGAATAACTATGCATAGCAAAGCAAAAATATAGAAAAATTTGAGAATGAGGCTAGTATGTGCTTTAACCTCATAGATTAATAATGAAATTAGACAACTTTGTACTGAAAGATTTAAGTAATAGAAATATTTCTTTACCAAAGTATGAATTTTCTGGTTATCAACAGCTGCACGGCATAATGCAAATTGATAGAAACCAAACCACACACTCACAATTCGTGTGACTGCATTGAAAATGCCAGCACCACAAATATACTGAGCAGACTGAAAAGCAGCGATGCTTCGAATTCTCAAATTAAAGAGCCTTCTCTCGGGCACAGTGCTTATTAACAGTTATTTTGTTAAAATCATAAGGCCAGGAAGGAGAAAGTTCTCTGAAGAAGCATCCAGTCGTTTTGCGGCCAAGCAGACTCCCTCCCTCCCTGTCTGCCCAGAGAAGGCCCCGGGGACCCCGAGGGAACCGCAGCCGTCTCACCAAGTTTCACTCAATTTGTGGGGTCCGAAGCGACGCCCCTGTCCCGGCTCAGGCCGCGTTACCGCACAGAGACCGGCTACAGACGCGGGCAGTGATCGGTGGGGCCGTGCCGCAGTTCCCGGCAGGGTCGTTCCCGGCAGGGTGTCTCGGTTCCCGGCAGGGTGTCTCCCGGCAGGGTCTCTCGGTTCCCGGCAGGGTCTCTCGGTTCCCGGCAGGGTCTGTCCCCGCCGTTCCGGGCCGCACGGGCCGCTCCGAACCTCCCGCCGCGGGGAGCATGACGGGAGCGCGGGCGGGGGCAGGGCCGCGCGAGGGGCGGGGCCGGGGGCGGGGCCACACGGCCGCCGGTCTCCCTGCGGCCCCGCCCCCCGGGCGCCGCTCCATCCCCTTTTCCCGCCGCTCCTCGCGCTGCTGGAGCCGCCTCAGTGCGGGCGGCGCGGGCGGACCCGCTGGATCATGGCTGAGGTGAGTTCCTGCGCCCCTGCCCCCTTACTGCTGCCTTCCTGCCGAGTGTTCTTTCTCCAGCCGCCGTCCGCGGCCGCTTGGGGCTGGTGGGATGGTTGGCCAGGCCCTGCCGTACAGGTGAGGGTCTGGGACCCCGGCCTTTCCCTTCCTTTCACGGCCTTCCTGTGCCTTCTTTCCTTTCAGCAACGACAGGACAAGGCGGCGCTGATAAGCGAGACCCGGCGGCGTTTCGAGGCTGAGTACCTGCCAGGTGAGCTGGGAGCGCTGCGTGCGGGCTCTGGGGCTTGTCTCCTGTCGCTTTTCCTCTCGGAGGCCAGGTATCCCGCTTTCCCAAGTCTGGGAGTGTCTGTGCCTTTTCTCAGAATCGACTGGGTCAGAAAAGGCCTCCGAGATTATCGGGGCCAACCTGTGACTGAACACCTGTCAGCCAGCCCACGGCGCTGAGTGCCACATCCAGTCTCTCCTTAAACACCTTTAGGGACGGCGACTCTGCCAGCTCCCTGGGCAGCCCGTTCAAATATATAATCAGTCTTTGTGTAAAGAATCTCTTCCTGATGCCCAGCCTGAATTTCCCCCGGTGCACTTAGGGTGTCCGAAGCCATGGAAGGGTGCGATGCACAGCGGGTTTCTGTGCTGGCTTTGGGTGCTCTGTCTGCAGGAGGTGTTGGGGCAAAGCTCTCGGTCCTTTTCTCTTGCAGGTGCGTTTGGTTGGCTGGAGAGTGTGGCTGGGGCATTGCTGTGCTTGGTGTTCTTTGGACATAAAACATGCCAGGGAAGGGGAAAGGGTGGCATTCTGACCTCATGACGTTGTCAAAGGAAGAGTTGTTTTTCTGGAGTAACTTGCACTTGAAATCACACAGGCCATAATTAAGATCATGCTGCACGTCCAACTTGGTTCTTAAGTGCAGGTGTGTTTAAATTTGTAAATGAAGGCCTGGGGATGCTTAGGGGAGAGGGAAGACTGGGGTAAGCCTAGAGTGGTTTCCTTTCATTTCAAGGTTGATTTGCATTGCTTGCGTTGGAAGAATGTAGAGTATGCTAACAATTGCAGTAAACAGTATGTTTCATTGTGGTTATCTAGAGACTTTCTACTAAAAACATGCTTCTATGAAATCATTATTGCAAATACAGTAGAAGTCTAGTAGTTGTGTTGCCTGCATCTCCTTTAATATCAGCCTCAGTTCTGCAAATAAATGCCTCACTTGGATGTTTCTGATGAAAATTATTGAGATTACCTTGCTATCTATCATTTTATTGTAAGGGCTACATGCTTCTTCATTGACTTCGTTGTAGTAGGCTGGAACATGCTTTCAGAAAACTTTGAAGGTCTTGAGGGTGGTACAACTTTGTCTTGTATGTTTACTCTGCTAACTTTCATAAAGGAGACTACTTTGGCCTTGGTCAGAAATGACCTTTATTCCTGGTGAAAAAATTTATTAGCAAGTCTTGAGGTAGAGTGAGCTTATTTTACCTTTTGATATTTGTAAGTGAATAAATATACCTTTGTAAAGCTCAGGCTTGAGTGAGTGGATGCTCATCTTAAATTCTAAATTTTTCTGCCTTTTAATGTTTTCAAGTAGAGTATATTTTCATATGGTAGATGATTCAGCTTCTTTTGTATTCTATTATCCCAGAGTCACACTCGTAAATAATTATTTCCGAAGGCCTAGGACTGCCCTGGGACAATGGTTGTGGAAAAGGGGTGTTACTCTTTCAGTTGATCTATCGCTTAAAATCTTGAAATTCCTCAAGTTTGTCTAGTTGTAACAATGTCTCTGTTGGGCTGGTTGATACAGCCATTAAAATAACTGAATACTGTTGCAAGGTAAACTGTAATCCTGTTTGCAGTATTTGGAACACTTTTTGTCAGTAAGCCCATTTTTGGGTCATGGTTTCAGGCTCTTGGCCCTTTCAAGAAAATAGGATTAAGACTTTTTTAACTTTGTGTTCCTAAGACTCTGCCACAAACTTAGGAATGCCACAAGCAAATTAATGTTCTCATGACTGCAATCAAGAGTGAAAAACACAGGATTTTAATTTTGTACTGGTCTATTAGCCTTTAATGTGTGTGTTCTAAAATGTATTCTTTTATGCTTCTGAATCAAAGGAATATGGGGCTGCATGTATGCAGACACCCTCAAACCTGGGACTTTGGGGTGTAAAGGTACAAATGATTGCTTCATACCCAGGAATTTTAGTCTGCTTTCAAAACTAAGGACAATGTCCGGCTACACTGAGAAGCTGATCCTTCCTGTAAAATTTAGTGTTGTCATAGAATTGTGGGCCTCTACAGAGCAAACTTTATTCCATGTACAGGTGAACTGCAGGTGTTAAAGTTGGAGAAAAGTTTTCAGGCAATGAGGAAAACAGTGTAACTGGTTATTTTAGAAACACGGTGGTTCTGATCATCAGAGATGAAGTGGTTCTTCTGTATTCTGTAACTCATAGTTACTGGTTTCCCTCCTGCCCCTCCTCATGCTGGAATAATTGGTAATGCTCAAAAATCCTGTGATGCCTTACAGTAATGTTTACTTTTGTTATGAAATGAAAACTTAGAGGATCTTTGAAATCCTACTTTTTCATTGAAATTATTTATTGGCAGATTACAATCTTTAGCTTAAAGTAGAATCCACAAAAATAGATAGCTGATTCCAAAAAGTCTAATATTCCAACATGTATTATTATTATTAGCTGTGGTCTTGATGATTTTCAAGGTTGGGTGGCAAAAGTTCTGCTCAGCAATTGAAAGCACCATAAATCTTGGTTTTCTTTAAATTATATACTTGTTTGTGTCACCAAATCAGAAAATGCTTTAGATTGTCAGATACAGTGTGAAAGTGTCAGAGAACTTTACTGGTTAATTTTCCCAAAGTTTGCAAGAGAACTTTCTTGCTGAAATTGTTCTGCTAGTTTGGCCATTGAAGTGTTCTGGAAGGAAAGCTTGGCCATTGTTGGATTTCTCTGAAAAGCAGTGTTTATTGTTAACTGAAATCTTGTGGTGGTTTTTTTTTTTTTCTTCAGTTAGCTTTCTAGCTGGGTTCTAAAGACAACTTCAGTTTTTGTGAGGAATGTATGTCCCCATAACGAAACACTTGTATTTAAAAGGTTTATTTCCAGTAGAGGTCCTGTTAGTCCAATAGACTAGTCTGATGTGGTAGGCAGACAGCACTTTGTCTTCACTGGTTTTAGGCCTAATTTTTGTTTTGCCTGTTTGGATTCTTTGTGAGTGTTGGTGATGTAAATGATTTAACTGATGAAAGGAACAATGAAAACAAAAGATTTTTTCTTTTATAGCACTGACTGGCACTAACAATGATTTCTAGCAAACAAACGTCTTTTTCTATAGTGAATTTTTATTCCTTAGAGGATTTCTAAAATTAGCTTTTATTTCTGGGCTATTACTTTCTATTTTAATGTTACAGTGGAAATTATTTACAATAAAGTCTTGTTAGACATTTTCAGTAAACTAGCTTTCTTCACATTTCCTTTTGTATATTAACTCTTTCTAATTGCCTGTTATTTCCTGGCCTTCCCCATTTACATTCTTTTCCTTTCTCCTTTAGGCAAATCTTAATTTTCAAAAAAGATTTTGCAAGAGAGGTTTCCCATCCTTCCAATGTAAATGATTAAATTTCACCATGACCTTCTTTAACCCTGTAGCAAAAGTGTTTTGTTAATCATATGGGCTAATTTCAAATAAATCTTTCAACATATGGGATGCCCTTAAAATCAGTGATAAGACTACTGTAGAAGGCTCATAAAGTAATATTTTTCATACCTGCAAACAAAACATGACTCATGTTGTGAAAAGTCTCTTTTCCCTGGTTCTTGGCTTTCAGGCTGAGACTGGTGAAAGGATAAGATGGGAAACATACTTTCATAAAAATCTCTGTAACATTAATGATTGAGCTTTTTATTGAAAGTAGTCTTTTTTTGTCACTGACAGTGTTCAGCTTTGCTAAAAGTTTGTTTCCCTCAGTTTGTGGAGGCAGATACTTTGTCTATTGCTGCTTGAGGTTATTGAAATACATCCTTGTTAGATGGAAATAGTGTTGGGTTTTTTCTTCATCCCTGTCCCTTTATGTCTACTGACCTTCTTAAATTGTTTCTAGTCTTGTTGATTTTCTCATCTAGCCACTGAAGGCACATAACTGAGTTGTTACAGTACTTAGCTTAATGTTTGGCATCAACAGCTAATTAAAAAGGATTTCCTCTTTGTAGCCAGTCAGAGAAATGATTGTGACCATTTTAGACCAGAAATTCTTGGCTGGAATAGCTTTAAGACAGTAGTTAAATTGAGTCTCTTTGTGTAGTGTAACACTTGACATACTCTTCTAAGTTGCTTTTTTTCTCTACTTTGTACAGTGAAGTTTTTGGGTTTTTCTTCGATTAAAAGATATGCAGTTGCTATCCCTACTTAGCTTGTATGTATGGCTTGTTCTGTAACACTACTTTTCTAGAGAAGTTTTTTCTGAAGGGAGGGGTCATTCAAGTCTTTATTCTGAACTTCTCTGGATTTAGCGTGTGACTTAGCTGTGCTGCCTGGTTTTGAGTCCTGTAGTTATTCTTCTATATTCCTGCTGAATAGTCTCAAATTTGGATTGTTTTTCCTAAAGCATGAACACTAGAAGAAGGCACAGCAATGTTCTGGTAATCATGGAATGGGTCAGATTGGAAAGGACCATTAGTGGCTTGTCTGGTGCAGCCTGTTCAGGCAGGGTAATCCTGGAGCACAGGGCACAGGTTTGCATGCAGACAGTCCTTGGAAGACTCCACATCCTCTCTGGGCCGTCTGTTGCAGGGCTCGGTCACACACAGTGAAGAAGTTCTACCTCATACTCAGGAGGAACTTCCTGTGCATCAGTCTTTGCCACTGCCTCTTATCCTGTTGCTGGGCACCACTGAACAGGGCCCATCCTCTGACACCTCCGTGCAGATACTGACAGACATTGATTGAGGTCTCCTCTCAGTCATCTCTTCTCCAGCCTGAACTCGGCTCTCTCAGCCTGTTCTAATAAGAGAGGTGCTCCAGTCCCTTAATCATCTTTGCACTGGACCTGCTTCCGGGGCTCCTGGCATGGCAATTAGATGACATTAAAAAAAAAGAGTGACGTAAAGAGAAGGGATTTTACAATTTGTGCCTCAGAGAACTTAATGAAATCTTCTAGTGAAAGTATTGCAGTGAAATCTGTGTGCGTTTAGTTTTGCGTAATTCTGCAGCTGTTTTCAGAGCTGTTCTCTGGTGTTATAGAATATCCTTTATGTTGAAACAGTAATTAAGTGATTTAATTTCACTGAAAGCTTCTCAGCTTGAAGAAGACAGCTAATAAAAGGGCAGAACCATGGAAAGAAGTCCTCACTAAAGCAAAAATTAAAAAAGAAGGCAAGTAATAAAGTAATATAAGAAGTTACTGTTCGAACAGAACTTTGTCTTCTAGTCTTTTCTCTTGACCTCAAATGCTCAATGACAAAATAAAAGTGACTTTAACCAACTATTTTCAAAATAAGGTTGAATACATGGTCAATTTTGCTTGCTCAAATTTTCGTGAAGAACTTCCAGCTAAAGGAATAAAGAGGGCTAATAATGGCCACATCTCTTTGCTGCTGTCATCCCCTTATGTGTAATTTATAATTTGGCAGATTATGCTTTTTCTTGGTTTTTTTGGATCTGAGTCTTTGTTAGTTTCTACAGTTTCCTGGGTCCATGGAAAAGTATTTCAGCATCCCAGTTTTGCCTCTTCCATGGGCTATGGAACTATTCCATGATACAGAAAGGTTTGTGTGTCTTGGACTGAGGGAGCAACCAGGTTTCCAAGCCTCTGGACTATGAAATGTTGCACGAAAGTCTGGCACTGCTGCTACACACTTGGCTTTCAGTAGCTCTTTCTGAACAGACATAGCTGGTAGTGCTGTTCCTTGTGTTACCTTTGGGGTGGGTGATGTATGTTCCAAATACCTTATGAAATTCTGTTCATTATGGACTTAATTACAGAGATGTCTCTCTTCCTGAGCTGAGGGTGCCACTAAACCTAGTGTCTTGGTGGCAGTGGCAAGTGTGAAGAAGCAAGCACCTAATTTTCCTTTGGGAAAAGCATTAGTAAATGATTACAGGTATCTAAATGTGTAGGCTTGGAGATTGTCTGAGGTAAGTTACTTCAGTTTACAGTTCCACCTGAATTTCCATACGGGTGCCCCTCAAATACTGTTTCTGTTTTGGCCTCTTTGTTGTTTTTCAGGATTTATTTAAATTGTATTGAGAACCCCAAAGGTCTTCTTTTCTTTCAACTAATTCTCATTTAATTCCATAAGTTTCTAATAATACAGTAACTGCACTCAAGTGTTCCACAAGGGATTTAAAATTAGAAACATTCTGATTATTTCAAAGCATATTTTGAAAACAAGTTTCCAGATGTCTGTAGAATTATGTGGCATGTACCAATTTGAAAAGGAATTCCTCCTCTGAAGTGACACATTTTCAATCGCTAAGTTCTTGGAAGGACTCCATCAATTTTATATCACTCTGCTTTTTGTGTGTGACATAAAACACCTTTCTTTTGGATTCACATTCTCACTCTAAATTTTACTGATTTTGTAGCAAGAATTGGATCAATCAGATACAAGTCATACAGTACTCAGTACTGTTGTTCTGTAAGTCTTAAGCTAACCTGATTCAAATACTGGCATTCTGCAAGTGCTTATGGATGCAGAACTTGACTAGTTGTTTCCCCTCATTTTAGGGTGTATTATAGCATTTATGTAAATTCAGATTGTGAGCCTTGTTGAGAACTTAGTTACAGAGGACAGTGAAGTATACTTTTTCAACTAGCCTTCTCTGAATGCTGCTTGCTTTCCATTGATGTTGAAAATGTTTGGATTAAACATTTTCTCAGTTTCACTTTCATTTTCTTAAAATACTCAGGAAGTTAAATGTCTGTGTTTTTAAAAGCATTTTCTAAGTTCAGAGTTTGGAAAAACTTGTTAGTGGCTGAGGAATGTGTTCTGAGGTTTTTTTCCATGTAATAGTATGTCAATGGGTTTAAATTACAGTTTGATACAAGGTTCACAATTCTCTCATTTTGACAGTTGTGCTCTCAAACGGATACTGAAAGCAAAGAGAGGCTTAGAAAGGGGTGTGAAATGTTATCCTATTAGTTTTTACCAGGTGGTGGGTTTTTCTCTTTAATTACACAGTACCCTAGTCCCTTATTTATGAGATATACATGGGACTGATCTCAGCAAAGTACGTGGCTGATTGATTAACTGCAGTCACTCATAGCTGGAAGCCAGTGTGTGCTAAACGTTATTAAACCAGGGTGAAGTAGTTAACTTGAAACTAAGTACTGTTAGCTTTTCTCAAACAAAACTTCCTAAATCATTGGGGGAACTACAAATTTCAGATGAGCAGTTGAGACTACAAAATTTCATACCCTGGATTTTTGCAATTCATCTGTGGTTCCTCCAGAGCCACAGATAAGTTAAACATTTCAGTGTGGTGCTGAGTGATCACTTCACTGGAGTTAGAATATAGGAAAACAGCAGTCCAGTGCAAGTATGGAAATGATGAGAAAAGGGACTTCAATAGTTAAAAGGATTTTAGTGGATTAAGGCTTTTGGGCAGAGAAGAAAGTAGAGGACTAAGATTAAGGAAAGTGGGATTAAATTCTAGGGTTATCTAAGGAACAAAGTAAAGTAGTGGAATGGGATCAAGGGAAGGAGAAATCTGAAGCCTAATGAAGAAGGGAACCTGTGAGAAGCAGTCAGATGTGAAAAGAAGCATTGGGGAATGAAACTGTAATTTAGTGAATGGACACATTTAAATTGATATATTCTTACAGCTACATTGACTAATTTATAACAGGAAATAGTATAAATAGAAAGACAAGTAAAATAGATCACATTTTTGTATGTAGGCCAGTAAAACAACAAATATTAGCAGAATTTAATGTCTTTTTCATAACTTCTTCCTCAGAGTTTTGTGACTGAAATACACTTTCCCAAGCCATCCCATCACAGTTCTAGATTATTGTAAATGGCTCTGGAAGCAGTTTATTGCTATTGGTGGAGTAATAGTCTTTCTAGTATGTGAAAATGAAATCTTTTATTAACAGTCTTAATTTTTTACGTGGTAATCATGAATTTAGTGAATAGCTTAAGAGTTTGTTTTCTAGTAGTCAGCAGAGATGTCTGTCAATGTCTGTTGCTTTCAGAAGCTGGTTTCTATTATGGGCTCTTGATTTACATTCTATTTTTACCAATATCTCAGACAGAGGATCACCGATTTAAAAACTGAGCTTTTGTTTAAGCATATCTACAGTAGAAATAGGTTCATTTAGCATCTGTGTTTCACTTTCCTGTTTAAAAGTAAAAAAAAACCCAGAGCAGCAGCGAGTCTTGTTTCATCTGAAGTACTTCCAGGAGCATGTAAGCCTGTTACTGTGTTGCTAATGTGATACAAGAAGCCTTGGGGGCTTTTGTGCTACCCTAGAGTTACATGTAGTTTTTATTGGGTAGAGTAACAATTTATAACACGTGTGAACGATGATTTTTTTTTATTTTTTTATTTTATTTTTTTTTTTTTAGAAGAAAGCAAATTTGTTTAATGCAATTATGTATAGTGCATGCTCAGAACCATTAATTTTGTATATGTTGTCAGACATTTTATGGTCTAACATGCTGATACCTCTAAGTTTGAGAACTCAAGTGTGTGCTTGTGATGTTTAATATACGCATTCATCAATACACTGATTCTAAGACTGTATTCTAATTCATGTTAATTACAGAAAACTGGTTTTAAGAAAATTACACCTGTCCCAAATGCACCTTGTTTTTTCCTTGCATAAGGATCACAGAAAATATTTTTCTAGTGAGAGTAATCTTGTTGTGTCCCTGAATATCATTGCAGCAGATAGATGGTTTTCATTAATCATGCTGTGCTTTGTCTGCTTAAATTTGAAACTGCAAGAGAAACCCTATGTACCAAGTAGATGCTTGCAGACATACACTTGACAAATCTCTTCACGTTTTTGTAGCAAATGCTATAGACACTAACTTATTTATTTCCTAGATAAATCAGATAAATATGATTCTAGAGATGTGGAAAGACTTCAGCAAGATGATAAATGGGTTGAAAACTACTTGATTTGGCGTCATGATGTTGTGGACGATACTTTAAAGATGATTGATGAAAGCTTTCAGTGGAGGAAAGAATACACAGTTAATGGTAAGCTGTGTTATACAGTGCTTTTGAAGGTGTGTGTTGCTTTCCTATTGAACTACCACTGACCTCTATATGTAGTTTCATTAAGAACCTTTTAAAGGTTTGCAAGTACCACGAAGAGCTGAGCAAGAACTTTCAGACAAGAGAAAAAGTACTGCTCTTCATGTTGACCAATAGTGTCTGTTTTGTTGTGGTTCCATATGTCTGTTGAAAGTGTGTTTAGGAGGAAGGAAGGAAGGCAACTTATCTGTTGTTGTGTCTCTTTGCATCATAGAATCTGAAAAAAAAGGGCAAATAAGAAAAAAACCCACAACAAACAGAGCTGTCTTGTTCATTGCAATAGAACTGGTCTGGTACATCAAATAAAGGAGATCTCATTTTTCTTCTGTGAAAATATTTTGAAGGTGGACTCTATCTACAGGTCTTGACACTGAATTAAATGATAGAGGATGGTGGGGAGGTTTCAAATATGAAAAAAGTATACATTTGCAGCATTTTCTTATGTAGTTTTTTTTCAATTATTCTTAGTTCATAAATAGACCCTACTCTACAGCATGAAAAGAAGATAATTTGAAATCTTTACTATCTCAATATTTGCATTAGTTCAATAAACACCTTGGAAAGTGGCTTATAAAGATGTTTTTAGGGTTTTTTTTTTTTGCTAGACTTTTGCATTTTTGGTGACTTCTGTTAAGTTACAATGTGATTATTACAATTGCTGAAATAACATTTCATTTGGTTTTGCAGACTTGTCAGAATCTGTCCTTCCAAAATGGTTGTTTGAAATTGGTGCTCTCTTTCTGCATGGATATGATAAAGAGGGCTATAAGTTATGTAAGTCTATGGTCTATACAGAATAGACTTTTTTCAGTCTTTGATCATTATTTTGTTTCCACCATGTTATCTTGTAAAATAAGCGTTTTAAGAACAGACATAGGTATATATTGGCTACTGTATTTATTTTAAAAGGTAATTGGGTAATAAATTTTTTATTTATTGTAGAATCCACTGAGTTGGAAGGAAGCCAGCAGGATGATGGAGCCCAACTCCTGACCCTGCACAGGGCAGTCTCAGAATCACATCATGGGCCTGACAGGAGGCCAAGCCTCTGAGAGGCTTAATGATGTGGTCACTGTCTTAAACAAGAATGTAATAGTTTAATGTGTGCTCCTTGTTTGAATAAAGAGTTTTCTTAATCTTAAAATATACAGTCTAACTTACATGCTATATTTAAAAATATTTGCTTCTTTACATGAAAGAATACTTTTTACTTTAGTTCTGCAACTGGAAGTAAGAGATATGGAGAAGTCTGGTTTTTACTACAGCTTTCCAAGTTTCAGGGAGAAGAATATTAAACATATCTAAAGTTATTTTCAGGCTTGTCTACTTTGAGACTGTAAAGGTAGTAAAAATGAAAACTACTCTTTGCATTACTAGCCTGAATATTTATTTTCTCATTTATTGCATAATCAGTACTTTTTATAAGGTCTTTTACTTTGAATTATGCCTGTGGGTTTATTGTTTATTTTTGGGGTTTTTTTCCCCCCATGGAAAAACAAGTCTCTCTATGGCTTTTTTTTTTTTTTTTATTCCAGAAGAATATATGCTAGGCTTTCATTTATGCAATGTTGCTCACCTTCTGGAATATTTCATTTTATTTTAGAAAGATCTGTTGCTTTTTATATAATTCTTAATGTGTGTATAAATAGTTTTTCACATCAACTGTAGTGCTGTAGGAAACATTAATTTTACAGCAATACTTAGACTATGTGCTGAACATAATATTGGCTGAAGACCATGATATTAATTTTAAATTATGAAATGCTAGTCTAGGTAAATAGTCTTTAAATATACTGAAAGGGTTTTTCCCCTTTATTGTTTCTTCTGGGATGTAATTCTTTGTATTTTCAATTTCTAAAAAGTTACAGTAAAAAAAGTGAGAAATATGGGGTTTGTGATGAGGTGTGCAGTTTTTCTGGCTGTCCAGTGGTCACAAAATTAGGACAAATGTAAAATACAAACTCGGAGGTCTTAATACATTTCAGTGCATCCTCTATAATTATTTGCATTATGTTTTGTTTTCTTGGGTCTTTCCTTTCAATTTCTGTGTGTTTTTTTTTTTTCCAAGTTTGGTTCAGAGTGAAACATCATACAAGAGATCCTAAACAGCAACTCGAAAAAAAGAAACTTGTTGCTTTTTGGTTAGAACATTATGCCAAGAGAGATCATGGAAAGCCCTTGACAGTGGTATTTGACATGGCTGAAACTGGAATCAGTCACATAGTAAGTATTTTTACTGTCTTGTCTTGATTGCTTTTGGAATTATTTAACCTGTGTTCCCAGAAAAAAGGAAGTCGCTGTGTAGTCCTTGACACGTAAATAACAGTCCCTGAGACCAGTGATATGGTAGAGCTTTTTCCCATGACATGAGCAGTTTCCAAAATCTTTTGTTACATATTAAACTTTGTCTTCTGCAACCTGCTGAAAACTTGCTTTTAGTTTGGTGGTGGAGCTGGTCTAGATTGCGAGGTTGAGATCTTGCCTATCAGTACATATTTATTGATTTAATCTAATAACTAAAAATCTCACAGATTGCCTAAAAGTTAACAAATATAATGTCTTTTTATAGAATAATTACATTTTTCTTACCGAGTGCCATGTCCTGTTATTACAAGAATGACTGACTGAAACTTGTACCTTTTGTGCTTTTTTTGTCTGGTGGTGGTATGGCAAGAATTAGTGTAAGCAAAAAACACCACCCCCAAACCCAACTCCAAAAGCTTATTTATATCTAGCATAGGCAAGATTGTTCATGTTGCATTGGGACCTTGCAGCTGTGCAGTACAGGGCCACCAGTTTAGGAGAAGGTAATTTGACAAATAAATGTGGTGTGATTCTGTTTTGCAAGGTTAGTGCTCTTACCTGTGAGAGCTGTCTGTTCATGCTCCTGAAGATAATACTGGAACCACGGTTTTATGTAACAGGAGTAAAGGATTGTAATAACTTGCTTGATGTGAAAGACTAATTTGATTTGTGGATCATATCTTGAAGCAGTTTTTTTTCTCCTTTCTCTTTGAGAGACCAAATCTCAGCAAACGCTGTCTGTAACTGTCCCATTGTACAGTCTTGCTTTGTAGTTAACATGGTTATCACAGAACAGGAATTTTTTTTGATGGCTGTTTGTAGCCATGTGGAATAATTGATAAATATGTCCTAAAAGCAAAAGAACTTGGATCTATGAGTTCTTTTCCAGACCATGCCTCATTTGTTTATTCTGTTACTATGGACATCTACTTTATCACTTTTATCACTGATATACAGGAGATAATTCTGATAGCTCATGGCGTGTCACAACAGTTCAGGTAACTAGAATAGATGCAGTTATTGAGTGGTCTGTGAAATCTGCACTTCTAATTCCAGACTTTCATCAAAATAATGGATCTGTTCTTCTGCTATGTGATGGTGCTGCTTTTGGATGGACAGCATTCTGATTAATGGAGATTCTAATCATTCAAATCTATCACTGTTAGTGCTGCTAAATTGCATTTTGTACAAGCAACAGAGTTGAGATAAATGCTTCTATTAGAGGTCACTTTCTGCCAGTAAAGATGTCAAACTTTCAGTGAGTTTCCAGTTGCTGAAGCCACTTAAACTTCCAGGTTGTAGGTAGTCCTCTTACAAGGTGTTACTTCTTTGGGGCTTTTTTCACTCTGTCCACGAATGTTCTGTAGTGTGTTGACATCAACCTAGGACACCCTTCCCCATTCTTACTGCTATGACAGGCTTTGGATCCTCAGCCAGAAACGCTCTGTGCTATTTTTGAAAGTAGTAGTAGTGGTTGCTTCTGTTAAAAGGACTGGGGAAAGTATTCATGGCAGGCTTCCCACCTGAGTACCTTGTTGTGGTAAGGTATCTCTGACTTTATTTCTAAAATAAAGTTTCATAAAAAGCCTTCCTTGCCCTTTACTGTATAGACAGTTCCATTATACCTGAATTTTGGAAAGGAGGCTGACTTGTACTATTTTTGTACAGTTGCTCGTTGGATGGAGGCATCCTGAAAATGGGTGGTGTAGAAGCAGCTCTTTTGAGTGCTGTTTCTGCCCACAGTTTCTCTGCATGCCACCAACTACTACCCAACCCAACAATTCTCTTCAAAGGAAAACCTTTTAATTTTTTTTCCTTTAGAAATATAATACTGACCGCAGTAGTATATTGAACAGTATGTAGGATAATTACTGAAAGGAAATTTCAGCATATTGAGTACTCTTCCATCTGTCAATCTTCTCTAATGCTAAAGGGTTGTTTTTCCTGTATCTTTCCTGCACATCCTAAGTCCTGTTGGTACTGTACAGTAGTTTAGATATCTTACTTATTGCACTGATCAGAGGTCTATTGACTTCTTTCTTAGATTATAAGGGAAAGCGTGACAACAATGCTGCAGCAGTTTAATGGAGGAAAAATCCTTGCACTGTGTTTTGAGGATATTTGTAGTGTATATAAAATTTGAACATAGTTGACTACAATATATCAATCTTGTGCTTTTGATTAAATGCTTTAACTAAGCCTGTATTTTTTTAATGTTTTGGCTTGCTTTGAATTTATGCTGTGATTTTTTTTTTATTTAGGACTTGGATTTTGTCCGGTTTATTGTCAACTGTTTTACAGATTATTACCCAAACTTCCTCAGTAAGTATTGTATATTAAATATTAAGCATTGTAGACTTGTGTAACTAGCATTTCAAAACATAATAGGAGATGGGGAAAGATAAAGGGGTTTTTTTCATGTGTTTTCTGGGGTAACTTCATGAAACATGTGAATGTTACAGGGTTAGGATATTCTTCTGCTTAAATCAATATAACTTTGTTTTTGTGAATAAACTTTACTTTCATCAAAAATCAACTGTCTTTCTGTGAAGTAATGTTTATTACTAACTAACAGTTTTACTACGTTTATACATAGTAAGAAGTATTTGTAAGCATAAAATAGAAAGGAATTGACTTGTTTTCCTTTGCTACTTGTTACATGGGTAGAAGCTTTACAAACTTTCATGACAGTTTATATCCTTTAGGAGTCTTCAGGGGTCAAAGAATGAATGGCTCTAGAAATTTATGGGGAGCAGTGGGTTTATTCTGAAAATTATTTGTTCAGAAAAGGCATTTTTTGTGTGCACACTCAGAAAACCCTGCATACTTGCCTGCTAATTTTTTTATGCATAGGCAAGTACTACATAGTTTATGCTAGCTCATCTTAAATATGTTGTAAATTTTAGGTGAAAATGTCTGTGAATGTTGAAGTTGCATACAGTAGCTGCTTAAACTGAATATTAGATGCTGGTTTGCTGATTAAAGTTCAAAGCTTTGATCAAATATCAAACTTATAGGAAAGTGCAACATTGGCTTTTGTACTTTGACATTGAAGAGGAAAAAATTTGGACACGAGTATTTTCAAATTTCTATGGTTAAATAATGACTATTTGGAAAAAATAGATATACAAGACTTATTTGTTTCTTTGTGAAGTAGGGGGTGATGAATATACTTGTTAAACTTTCTTCTGTTCAGTAGCTGCTTTTCTAGGTCAGATTGAGATCTTGCTTTTCTTTGCTTTATTTGTGAGATAAGTTATTAGTAACAATATGTCAGATAAGTAATGCCTCAGGAAGTACATAAACAATGTATAACTTGGAATTTTCTTATCTATTTTCCAAGAAATCAGCTAATGTTTCTAAATAGCAATAAGCTTGTATAAAATTGCTTTTATAGGGAGGTGAACGTGGAGGTTTGCAAAAGTGAATTTACTTTTTGCATGAATGTTATTGCTGTACTTGCTCTTAAATAGAGAAATACCTAGCACTTGGTATTCAGATTTTTTTCTTCTTTTCAGCAAAGATAGTAATATTTGAAATGCCATGGATAATGAATGGTAAGCTTTTGATTTTTTTATTTTCTTTTTGAATTGTGGTAACTTAAAATTTGGTGGCATAAATAAGAAGCATTTTTCTACAGATGATAGATTCACCTGTAGATACAGATGAATAATGGAGTTTGTTAAACATGCATCTTAAAATCTGTCAGTTTAAAGGTTGCATACTTTTTATTTTTCCTTTTATCATTGTATTTTGGATCGTACTTTACGTGAAGTACGTCTGTATTCATCCTGTTGTTTTCAAAGGTTAGGAGACTTTGATAAGTATTCTTTGAATGCTTCTAACTAGAATCCTTTCAAGAATCCCATCATTAGCAGTGATGGTGACTTAGAACCAGCTCAAAAGTAGAATACACAGTTTTAGATAGATGCCTGACACTGGATGTGTTATATTTGTTCTGATATGGGTACTTCAATAATTATCTGTAATTATAATGCACAGGGTAAATACTCTAGTCCTCTATTGTTGCCATATGAATACGTATTTTTGAATTGGTTTTATATTTTCCTGCATATTCATGTTTTACTGTCACTGAAGTAACAATGGTCTCTGTAAATGCTTCATAGGTATAAACAAATATCCTTTAAATCAGCAAAACATTTCAGCAAGGAAGAGTGTATACTTATCTTCCTCAAGCTCCCTCACTCAGATATGGAAACAATTGGTTTTACCCCCTCAGTAGTTCAAGGGCTAAATTCCAAGACGATAGAGTTGTCAGTTATTAAATCAAAGATACTCTTTCCATTTTCTCTGTAAATAATAACTCTTTCCATTTTCTCTGTAAATAATACCTTTTTTGCTTTGCTCATTCCAGTTATAACAGGTACTTTCAGAGCAGGTTATGCAATATCTTGAGGGATGTAAGATCAACTAATTCACTAAAAAAACCCGACAAAAACAACATTACAACACTTCTTTCCTGTTAATTCAAGTATACCTTTGTTTTGTCTTGTTTTTTGAAGCTGCTTTTAAAATTGTGAAGGGTTGGCTTGGCCCAGATGCAATAAGCATGTTAAAGTTCACAAACAAGAATGACGTGCAGGAATACATCAGTGGAGAGTATCTGCCACCTCACATGGGTGGAACTGTAAGTATAAAATTTCACGTTCCTGGTGTGGTAGATTGAGACACCTATATAAATTCCATGTGTGGGGTTGAGGGTGGGAGATTTCTTGAAATTGTGTTGCCAATGATAATTTCAAAATCCCAATACTATAAAATAGGTTAGCTTCACAAGAATTTGATATCTGCATTCTTAAGTACATTCTTAACTACAGAACTGTTTTTTCTGAATCATTCATCCCCTTATAAGTCGCTGGAAACCACTTAGTTTTTCAGACCTTCAGGAAAAATTGAGTATCATTGCCCCTGTACTTTTTTTCTTCCCTGATGAATTAGAGATGTTGTTTGTTTATGAAACAAGTTATATGAACAGAAAGTAGGTTTCATGGTCCTCTGAGAGTTCCAGTCCTGCTCCAAAGCTATGATTCACTAAAGACACTAAAGATTGTAACTATTTTTCCTTTGCCATCTCTAGGGCTGCATTTTAAGACATGGCTGTAGAAGATTCTTTTCAAAGAATATAGTAGAGCTCCAAAGTGGTACAAACAGCATCGGTTTAACAGAATCAGAATCCAGTTCTAGTGCAATCTAAAGAGTGAAACAGCACAAGCATCTTGCACAACAGGTTTCACTTTTCACAAGGCTAGTACATCAGTGTTGCATAATCTTTAAAATAAATTCTCAGAAAAATTATGCTTTAAAATGTCAATAGGCCATTTATGGTAGTATTGTTGGAGTCCATCTCTGACAATGTGCAGAAAAGGATGTTTGTGTTTCAGCAGTAATAGGGAAGGACATGTTCCTTTGTGTATGAATTCAGGGCAGGTTATTGTGGCCAGAACATAAGAAACTTGTTTGGGCAACATAAAAGAATGTTACCTGGATTTTCATTTGTCTGAGATTAGCAACTTTTAAAAAGTGCATGTGACTCTTGAACAAAAGATAGCCTTTTTCTCCATGGAAAATTGCTGCCCCAGCTCCCAGTCTCACGTAAGAAGTTTCTCATATGGAAGAAAGCTGAAATTGCTGCACCGCAGGAGTGAGCATTGAGGGAGGGACTGCTGATGTCTGAAGTGATTCAGTAGGGGATTGCAGGTTGTTTAGCAGTGGTTCTGGGCCTGGCTCCTGTGGTCTTGTCCTGTTGTTGCAATAGAGGGGCAAGTTTTTTTTCCTCATTAAAGCTGAGTGTTTCCCATCTGCTTTATAGACTATCTTACCTAATAGTTCACTATGTCTTTAAAGAAAGAATTTGTGGTTTTGCTAAATATTATCCTGAAGCATTTGATGGAACATGCAGTCTTAGCGTTACCTGTAATGCTGCCTTGGGCCTGAAAGGTCTCCTGGCTGCTTAGTGATTGTTGATCTGGCTGGCTCCATACTGCCCATCTTCTGAGGGCATTAACAAGTTTCAGAATTGTGGAGGCAGCTTATCCAAATCATATGTCTGAGGTAAAAAGTTTCAGTGACAGAAATAAAATAGTAGAACAATAATAAACTTGCCTGACAAAGACTCCAGAGGTTTTGACAATTTCAGAAAAACAGCTTTATCTCTGCATATTAAGAGCCCTATATTTTGAACCAGCACATACTTGGTCTAACTGCTGAGTTTCACTTGATGGGTGTTTTGAGCTTTTAACCTCAGAAGTGTCATAATTTGGAAGAATTGTTAGCAAATACCAAGACTCCAAAATTGTGCTCTCAGTCTTTCTTCCCAAGATTTTTTTCAGTGTATACAGTAAAGCAAAATCTTTGCATCTCTGATAGCAGGGAGTTTTTCACTGACCAAACAGTCAACTTAATGCCCTTTCTCAGAATTTAACTTTTCTTGATGTGATTAACCTTGACTTCTCTTGAGGCAGCTAACTAGAGTACAATTCACTATTATTAGTATTAGGCCTGACAATACATGCAGTATTTGATTTGTGTAATCTGCACAAATTGATTTCTCTCAAGTGTTTGTTGGGGTTTTTTTGCCTTCTTCAGAATCTCTTTGTCCTCTTTGACATCCACACATTTAGTTACAGATCGTCATATTTGCAACGAGCATAATGCCAGTGCATATCTGTGCATCCTTTGCTGTGTCCCCTGCTAGGATCCAACTTCGAAGAGCCAGGTCTTGCCAGTTGTAAATAACTGGTGGAGCAGTTCATTTGGCAGGTTAATTCAGGGATATACCTAGATTCCTCTGCACTTAGGTTCTTTGTATTCCAGAAGAATGTTAGAGACTAGTTCTGGAAGTAATGAAAAAGATCCATAGAATTAATATTGGAGTTAGTGATTACTTTGCTTAACTAAGAGAACTGTTCTCTGTCTCTGTTGGAAGCCTCCAAGCTTCAATGTCTCAGTGAAGTTATTTTGAAGCATTTTTTAAGTCTGTCTCAGGGTCACTCAAAAGATGAATCAGAAACTTTCCATAGCTTTAAAATCCTTTGATTGACTCTCAGCCAGCTGTGAAAAGAGGACTATTACATGCTTGATTTTAGACAACTAGTGGGCAAAGGTGTCTCCAGAGTACCAAAAGTATTAAAACTAATTATGGAAAACAGAAACTTGGGTTTTGCAGGACTTTGGAACATGAATTTGGTCTAAATTCCATTTGAGTCCTCATCAGTCTGACTGTGGCTGTTACTGTATTGCTAATCCATACACGCCATACCATGTATGTGGCTTTGAGTTGTTCTTGTCCATAGTGCACAGAAGTAATTTTCTTTATAGCAGGTTTATTTTGGAGAGCTTGTCAAAATTACCCAAGGCAGATCTAGGAGCAAGCTAATGCTAGCCAGCCTGGAAAATCAGGGTTGGGTGCTCAAGAGCTACTTGGTAATAGTTTTCATTTAGTAATAAATGTATACTAACTCAGTGTTTTCTGGCTTTCCTATCTATTGTATCACACATTCTGCCATTTCCAGCTGTTTGAACAGTCCTGTTTTTTAAGGCATATGCATTTCTGACTGGGCAGGGAGCTTTGCTGTCTCTTCAGTAATATTTTCTGCAAGACTGATGTACATACAGAGTACAGTGTACACTTTGATGTAACACATGTAGGGTTTTGATTTGTTATTTTGCCCAGTCCTCCTTTCTCAGAAGATGTATTTAAAAAGGATGAATTGATCAAGATACTCTCAGCTGGTGCCAATATTGAACAATGTGTGCAACTGCTGTGCTCTTCACCTGGGTATCTAAATTGATAGCCCTCAGGTTTTCTTGGAAGTACCTTTTGTAGGTCAGTGGCCTGAAGTTAAGACATGCAAGCTTGCATATGGCTTCATGCACATGTTATCTTAGAAAATATCTCTGCTGGAATTAAACCACCTCTACAGAAACTGCCAAAACCAGTAGTATGAATTCTCTAGATTTGCTATAAAAGAGCTATAAGTCTATAGAATGGATGTATCAGGCATTGAATAAATCTGTCTTGTTTACCTGGCTGACGTTTTTTACCCTGTTAATAGATATACCCATGCCACTGAAACTTAAGCATTGTGACTGTGAAGTGTGGGACTTTGAGTTGTCTCACTGATGAGCTTCTGTTCAGCTCTTGAAGCTATCCAGTAGCATGGATTAACAAGGCCAAGTAAGGTGTGCAGCAAAATTAATTTTCCTCCTTAATTAAGGTCACTTCGTAATATGCCCTTCATCCTATGCTGGAATGGAGTGACAGGGCTTTGTTGGTTTGTATAAGAGGAAGCTGGATATTTCTGTCCAATGTGGGATGTCAGTATTCTGTAAGATTATTGTAATATTTCTAGCAGACTGGAGTCTTTTCTTCTAATAGTGATTTAGTCTGTAACTGATACTTAAAGCTTGTTCTTCAGGCCCTTAATAGGATATTGTTTGAGCCAGGGTTTCATTCACCTAGAGGTCTTTGACTGTTCCTACAACCTGAAGAGTAGGTGAGATTTAGACCTTGATTATAGATGAGCAGGAAATATGCTGTTTTGTTTGTGCTTTCTTTAAATGGTTCCATCTAAAACTTTCCCCTTTTAATCTTTCTTAACATCACATTATTTCTTGTTTTGAGAAAATGTACTTGCTTATGGAGAGCTCTCTTGAAACACCTTTTTGTAGCTCCCTGCTGAGGGAGACATAATTTGGGAGGCAAGGGCATTGCTCCATTCTGCCTCACAGGAGTCAAAGCTGTGTTGTTTTTCTCCATTGGAAAAGCTGACAGACTAGTTCAGTTTATTTGATGCTTAAAACCACTTGAAAATGTGGTAGGAACAGAGATTCCCCATTCAAACACTGCCTCTAACATTACATGTAATAAAATGATTTGGAGAATGTTAAGAGAATTTCTAGTTAGCAAAAATTGGTTTTTACTTATCTTCAATGGAAAAAGTACCTTTATTGTAGCCATTGGGAACTTAAGTATTGTGCTACTGCATTACTCTTAAATAAGGTCTTTAGTCCTTGGAATGCCAAATCAATTTAGAGGCCCGAATTGCAGGATATGCTAAAGGTCCACACTTTTGTCTTAAACTTGAGGGATTATTTGGGGGTTTTTTATGGTTTTCGGGTTTAAAAAAACAGGCCATTATGAAACTAGCATACAAGGAACAAGTGATGTTTTTCATCACTTTTGAAATATTTTTAGAAATAGCTGTCATAAGTTTTAAACCACATTTTTGAGAACTAAGAAGAGAACTTCAGCACTAAGACTCTAAATGCTGATCCTTGATAGACCAGCTTCTGCAGTTCTGCTGTGAATATAAAGAAAAGTTACAGTTTACTGGCTTCATTGGATGACTGTATTTCTTTGTCTATTGATGATAAAATAGAAACTCTTGGTGTCAGCTTTCTGTACAGGGGTGCAACTTGAAATGGATAAATGAAACATAAAAGGAGTGTGAAACAAGGAACAATGACAGTATTTCCATTTAAAAAAACCCTAGAGAAGGCACTTCTAATCCACTCAAATAACTCATCTTTTATAAATCTCCCTATCTTTCAGGATTCTTTCAAGTACAGTTATCCTCCATTGGTTGATGATGATTTTCAAACTCCTTTATGTGAAAATGGGCCCATTACAAGTGAAGATGAGCATGAAAGTAAAGAAGAGATAGATGCAGACACCAAGGAGGCTGGAGAGCTGAATGAAGCACAAAACCTTAATCAGAAAAAGGTATCTAAGTGAAGATTTAGGCAAGACTAGCTAGACGATTAAAAGGGGGACAAGAGGCATATAATTTTGGTTACTTGTCTTTCTGTTGTATTATTTTTAAATAGTTTTTCTGTCTTCTAATTTAGCAAAAGAACACAGGAAAACTGAAAGATTATAGTTGTAGTTTCAACCTTGACTCTTGGTCTGTTAAGACAAGTTTCATGCTTCACAATACATAAAATGTGCAGCAAGTATTGAGTCTATCTTTTGGAATGTAGTGAATTGTGCAGTAAAAGGAAAAAGGTTTCTGTATTTTGTTTTCAAAGGTTTTCTTTCTAGTTGGTTTCTTTTTAATCTTGGGATAAATAGTGGTGACCATTTTGAAATAGATCTAGTTTTCTCTGATGCTTAAAACAGTATGTACATGAAAAAATATTAGGCTAAATATTTATGCACTACTGGATGTAAATTTGTTTTCTTAAATTATTGATAAAATCTCAATATATAAATATTTTCATTTGTTCTCAGGAGAAATTGTATTCCTACTCCATCAATCATGTTTTGCAACATAATCTTCCTGCAGTGTTGTTTATCCAGAAATAAAGGCATTGTTTTACATGAGTTCATATGACGTGATATTTAGGAATATGCAGTGATAGTAACTGGGGATACTGCTTTTGAAAATAGTAGAAAAAAATTGAATTTTACTATTCTATTACCATAATATTAATATTGGAATATTACTTGCAAAACTTTTGTTTAATGGAATAGAATGCAATTTTGTTTACTCTTCCAGGTTTGTCAGAATAATTTGAAATGTGCAGCTCACAAAGTAGTCTAGCTGTTATTTGCAACTTAGCCAGCTTTTCAAAAAAAAAAAAAATAATTTCACTGACCTTAAGGTCAAAAGGAAGCATTACATAACCATGGTTAGACTCAGTATCTTGTTTTGCTTGGGGCACATTTTGCAAGCTATGATTCCCATAAACAGAAACATGGAGAATTTCTGCTCAATGTGTGAGTTGATTTTGGTGCTTAATAAGCCTCAGTATTTGTTGGCTTTTAATTTGCTTGGATGACTTAGCTTTCTACTTAAGGTATTTTAAATTTTAAATTTTTTTACTCTTGAAATACCATAAAGCATATAACTGTTTTCACTTTTATTCAGTGTAACCAAGGTGCTACTCAATTTTTTTTCAGTATAAGGAATCATGAGGGATAAACTTGGTTAGTAAGTGCCTATCCTGTAGGTGCTTCCACTTTTGTGTTCTACAGTAATATTTTTTTCTGGCATTTTATGTAGAATAAAGCCTAAGATATAACTAGTGCAGTGTGTTTACACACCAACCTTTTTCTACCACTTTTATATAAGTATATAAAAAAAGTTGCTGTGTGGATTCTTTTTTATACAGCCTATTTCATACAAAGTTTTGTATACCTTTCATTCCCATACTTCAAATTTGCATGAACTGAATTCTCTTCATGTCTTTTCTCTGTATTAAAAGTGGAATAAGAAAGGAGGCTAAGCCAACTCTTGAGCCAGCTGATCTGGAATCATGATGTCACTAATTCTTTCAGTCTTCTGTACCCCCCAGCACCTGCCTGTTTTGCATGTATTTTCCTAATGTTATAGAAGAAAACCCTCAGAACCTAAGATGTGCCTGCAGTTTTGAAAGCACCAATTCAATCAGCATTATTTCTTTTATGTTCTGCAATACTTCAGAGTTTCATCTAAGAGCAATGAAGATATGTTTAGCTACCCTGCAATGCAATGAAGTGTGGAATTGGTACTGTGTTGTCTGTTATACTGGTACAGTGATTGTATTGGGGCATCTATTTTAATTTTAATTTGCAATGGATAAATAATACCAGTGCTTTATAATCTTAGGTATTTGAAGTGCTATAACTTAGTATGTCTGGAATTTTCAAAAATCAACCTGAACATCAGGAAAATACTTGGGGAAAAAAACAAAGCAGAAGTTTTGCTTCATACCTGTTTAATGTGTTATGTAACTTCTGTAGTAAATAATTTTATTCAGTGGACTTCAAGCGCCTTCAGGAAATGAATATATATAAAGCTTGGTCTATAATGTGTAAACTGTTGAAATAAGCCTCATCATATTCTTTGAAATGCCTGCATGATTCTGTAACATGTAACTTAGGTTTCTAGTTAATCATTATAACTATCATTTTTACTCAGATGAATTCTATAGAACAAATTTCCAAATCAGAGGAAACTGACAAAACAGAGGTCAAACCAAAAAATGCAAAGAAAGCATTAACTACTTTTAAAGGACCTTTATTACATATCAGGTAATAAAAATTTTCTTTAATTTTCTTTTTACAATGTGCCTTGGACACTTGAGTACTGAACTAGTTGGTTTTCAAAATAAACTTTTTTCAGACTATTAGAGGAAAACAAATTATAAACAACTTTTAAAGAAGGATTTTTACAAAGCTCAAAGAGTTTTTTCTGGTTTTAAAAGTTTTTAGTGCATTTTTCTGGTGTCACCAAAGATTGGCATACTTTTTGTACAACTAGGTGTATATTCCACAGAATTGTAGAAGTGTTTTGTTGATATTGAGAAACCATCTAAGTTAAGCCTGTCCTTATTTTAATCAGACCAGTGGTTTGACATTGTTTTTTTCTTGAGCCACTGAAATTAAACAGTGTTATTTCAAGACAGTTTTCACTGTTAAATCTTGCTTAAATTCTTTTGGCTTATGATGGTATAAATGTATACTAATTGTTTCCACCAGTTAAACTTAATGAATGATTCCAATTTATTTTGTGTGGAAAGGGCTCTATAATGACATATTTACCCAGAAGGTTTTGTCATCCAAGATACTACATCTTGCAGTTATTTTTATCACTGAACTAGAATAAAGAAATCAATTAGCCAATATCACCTTTTCTTATCACTGCCTTTTAGGTTAAGATGCTTGTTTAGAATTTGATTTAGATGTTAACTTTTATTTTCACTTTCAGTTTGCTATTAGATGAATGAAGAAAATATCTAATTTTTAGGTAATTTCATAGCTAACTTTTTAAAGTGCTGTAATGAATTAGTTTTGGAATGAATTTGAATAATGACATGCTCATTAGCATAAATAATTTGTATGTGTAAAATTTTCCTAATTTTGAAATGAAAAGCCTCCTCTGTGTAGCCTTAGTTTCTTGTATGGCAAGACAAAGGCTTAGACTGCGGAATTGTGATTATAAAAGAATGCTGAACATTTTCTGTGACAATCACAAACGCTAAATGTATTTTTTCAACCACTTTTTAATTAAAAAAAGAAAGGGGCACAAGTCACAAATAGGCAACAACAAAAAAACCCCAAACAAACAGAAACACCACCAGCATCCCCAGAAACATCTTTTTCTCTCTTAAAATACTTCAAGCTGTTGTGGAATAGACGTAACTTACATGGACTGGAACACATGGAAAAGTAAACTTAGTCGAGGATAGATGTGTTAATACTTGTAGTCTTGCTGTCATGGAAAATAAAATACTGGTGTCTCCATTGTCCTTGCTGTTTGTTTTGTTTTTAAAGAAAAATCCTGAGTGCAGCTGTTGCTCTTCATTAATGGTCTCCCTCTGTAGAAGCTAGAACTAGTTTCATTTTCTTCCACTAATTCTCAGGCCATTGAACTGAAAGTGATTGAACCAATAATCTATTCTGCCATTCATAACCAGTTGTAGTCACCTATCACAGAGACTGTAAGCTGTGTCGCCATGGTTAACTTGCATCCTTGCTCATCTCCCAGCATTGCCCTGTGAGGGGAGCAGCCTGGAGCCTGAGCAGGCAGCTCTGGCACCATAAAGTCATGGACCAAAGCTGGGTCCTTGTGCTCTTTTGTTTCTTGTATTTTTAGTCATGCTCATGAGTCAGCTGTCTCCCGCCTTTAAACCACAATTGTATTTTCCTTGTATACCTTACAATGAAAGGCTGCCTCTGCCCTTCCTCCTCAATAAATGAATTTATTTGGTCAGACAAAAAGCAGCAGTTTCCTTGCACTGTCTGGTGGAAGAGCAGCTCGTGATCTGTTGTGGTACGAGAATTTCTAGTACAAGCTGGTTATGTCACACACATCAAAGTAAAGCAATTCCTGCATCTGTAAATATTAAAAAGCTTGGGCATTTGTTTAAGCAATCCACCCTTCTAATAGCTACATGCCACCTTCCCCCAGTGCTGTGGAACTTGATTTCACAGACAAGAGCATACAGCTGTGGTTTATTTTTTTTTCCTTTGCTCAATGGCCAGAGTTGGTAGAACAAGAAAGATGAGGCTCTGGCAGAATGTTCCTTCCCTTGATCATGTCTGTGGCTTGTTTTGAGCTGATTAGTGTTATCTTGTTTCATTTATGGTTCATCTTGCAATTGCTGTTATGTACAGCTACAGTAGTGCAGTATTAGGATAGCTAAGCTATGTTAGCTACAATCCTTCCCTTCCCTACCACTGGTTACTTAAAATGACAATTTGGAAATGAAAGAATACTGAGAAGAGGAGAGAATTGCCCAATGAAGCTGTTTTAAACCCATCACTTTTTTGGTTTCTATCTTACTTGGCACACTTCCTTATCACCACCACAGAAGTAGTCTTGTCATGTGGGCTGACTAATGCAATGTAAAACATCAGCACCCCAACATCACAGTCACCACCAGAATCTGCTTCCAGCATGGGCGTTCACGCCTGCCCTATGCCACCAATGGGTTTTCTTCTCAGCTCATACAAAAGAAGGAAGGATTAGTACCATAAAAGAAAGTCTTTCGAGGAGGAGGTCAAATTAACATGAAATTGGCATTCCAAAAAGAGGACATGGGAAAAAAAAGCCACGTGTTTTGAAAAGCAATATGCAGTTTAGTAGTACAGAGTAGAATGGCAGCTCTTTGCGTGCTCCTCATGTGACATAATGAAAGAAAAGTTCTTCACTTGCTACTCAAGTTTCCTTTCAACTTGTATTATATGAGCATGCCCTCCCTACCTTTTACCTACCACTGCTCATTTGAATGCTTATCCAAAATGAGTTGTGTTAGTTTGATGTGGTTTAAAATATCTCATGCATGACTCTCTTAATTGCACAAGAATATTAAAAACAAGCAATAACTTTATTTATGCATGTGGTACCACAAGTATGTGAAGACTGACTCATAAGTACAAGTGAATTCAGCTGTCGTGGTTGAAATGATTGTGGATGTCTGCCTTCTCTAATGTGTGTACATGACAAGGATAGAGATTCAAGGTGGAAATTACTCCCTGTTTGTGACACTTTCTATTCCTTAACACGAGCATAAATTAAAGTCAGTGATGTTTTCCCTTAACACACTGCCCAAAGATGCAGTAGCTGACTCTATCTGTTGGCTGTTCCTGCTGTCACAGATGGCAGAAGTCAAGGGCAGTAATCAGCTGAGGCAGCCAGTTCTGCTTGTCATGAGTCAACCCTGAGCTTCACTACAAAGTTTCTGCTTTTTGTTTTCATAGCTTTTTTTGATGAAAATCTGTTTATGCTGATTGTAGCTGCAGGGTAGAAAGTATTTTATTTTCCTGGAGGTGTGGTCAAGTTTTTTCTATGATCTATTGTAAAGATAATTTGCATAAACTAATTATTTTTAAATTTCCTATTAGCCCAGCAGAAGAGCTATATTTTGGATCCAAGGAAACTGGAGAGAAAAAATGTTTGATAGTTCTCACAAACGTCACTAAAAATGTAGTGGCTTTTAAAGTAAGTGTTTTTTGTGTGGCCTGGTTTACTAACTGTGTAACTTTTTCTTGTTTTCTGTAAGGAGGAAGGATACTATCCATTTTACAGACAAAATTTTTTATTGTGTAATGACGTCTGAGGCAGATCAAAGAAATCTTCTGGCTGAATTTATTTATCCCTACGATATACCACCTCAAAGGGGATAACTAGTATTACAAATCTTTGGAGCACGGACTAAAAAAGAGCTAAAGTTACGGTTAGTTTTTTAGTGAGAGTAATACTTCTTGAAAAAGAAAGGCTTAAGCATTGGAAATTCATTTTTTTAGAATGTTTATTTTAAAATATTGGCCGGAAACAAGTTACTAATGTTCCAAAATGATGCAGATCCATCTGGAAATGCACCACCAAAGGAATTAGTAGTTATATTTGCTTCAGAAATATGGAGTTGCATCTTTGTGGGCTTTTCCCCATCTTTTGCATTCTCTGCATATTAAAATAACTTAAAGTTTTCATATTTTTGTGTTTATCATAACATGTTCTTGGCTGGTTTTAAATATGTATGGAAAAGAAAAATAGCAAATCCGAGAAAACAAAGCATAAACGCAGTTGGGAGGGAGGAAAAAGGAATGTGCAAGAGTCCTATTATGGCTACTAAACTATGTATTTTAGGCACTTGTCCTAATAGTCGAGTTTTTGGAGATTTAGTTATTACAGAATGAGAGAAGTTATGAAGCAGTTGTAGGTTGTGCATGCACTTACTGTATCCTTCATATTTCTTGTTTACAGGTGAGAACAACTGCACCTGAAAAATACAGGGTTAAACCCAGTAACAGCAGCTGTGAACCTGGCACATCATTAGATATAATAGTTTCTCTTCATGGTGGTAAGAATGTGCAATAGAGTTTGTAAGAAATCTGGGCAAGTTGTGTTACTAGACTGCTCCAGACACTGATGGTTGTATGTGCTTGCTGGTGTGTAGGACTGACTGATGCCCACGTCTACTTGACTCTTGTATGAGAGTGGTACCATTTGTTAAAAAAACATGGATGTCAGAAAGGATTTGAGTAACTCTCTGTCCTGATTTACTGCTCCACTCAGGCATAAGCAGCTGTTGTTTGTAACCCATTTTTGTTTTTTGTCTTAAAAAAGAAAACTGAGTGGCAGTTGTCTTGCTGGTTCATTATTACAGTGGGAGTTTATCTGCAGTAAATCAGTCTCCTAAACTGTTGAAAGGACAGGTGAATTTGCTGAAGAATACATTTTTTACAAAATTTCGGGTTATCTTTGAGCTATTCAGATGAAATTAGTTCTGTTAAAATGAAACTATATTATTTTGGGAAAACCGTAATTAGAATTATTGAACTTTAGAGAATGATTTCCTTATTTTTATTTCTAGTAAGTTGGTGTCTGGTGTCCTGCCATAAACAAGTCCTCATTTTATGGCACTTTTGTGCTAAATACTTCTGTCCTCTTTGTAATATTGTCATTTTATCTAAGCACACTGTTGCCTTTTTTTTTTTTTTTTTTTGTCTTCCTTGAGGGCAGGTTTTGCAGCTTCTTTGCAGGATCGTTTCCTTATAATGGCAGCAGAAATGGACCAGTCTTCTGGAGCAGGTGTGCCAGAACTGACTCAGTTTTGGAAAGAAGTCCCTAGGACCAAAGTGATGGAACATAGGTAAGCATATGGTTTTATGGTAACAGTTTCTTGGGTTTGGGTTTTTTTTTAGCTTTTATTATTTAGCTGATTTATAGCACTGGTGTAATCATAATCAAAGAAGGTTTCTCCAAACTCGCTTGTGTGGTTACTGACCAAAATACATTACTGAGACTTTTGCTCTGTTTTAACTAATTAGATGTGAGTTTAATGTATAAAATGATATTCTGCACATGGTTTTCTTTTTATTCTTCTTGTTGCTCTCATGCTGATTAAGAGTTAAGTGGAAAAAATACGAATGCATGTGACAATACATATGGACAATAGAGGTTTTGGTTCTTTAATAAGAATGTGTCACTTGAGTTTTCTAAAAGGAAGCAATCAAGGAAAACAGACATATTAAATGCAAAACTATTTTCTAGACAATATTAAAAATGTCCCTTTCTACTAGGGAAAATCAGAATTTTGTAGAAAATTTCTGTAAAACCTATGACATGTTTGTCTGTGTATTTTTGATATTTAGTGGTGAAAAGTCATCTAGAAAAATCACTAGAAAAATAAATTTCTCCATACGCGTTTTAAATGCACCTATTGCTCTTCTCTCTCATCCAGTCACATTGGGTGTCTCTCTGAACATGTCTAGGAAAAGTTCCCTGCAGTTTTGACTGTTTTTTTTTGCCTTAGATTGTTCCTGGTGTTTTTCTGTATGTTTGGGGGCTGGTTTTTTTTTGGAGCTGCCTTTACGCCCTCATGGCCAAAATTTCAGTGGAAAAAGTATTTTGTGAGTCTTGATGCCTAAATCATGTTCTGTGTTTGCTTCAGGGGCTTATCCCTTACTTCCTTATTGAATAAAGTCTACATCATGTGAGTGACCTTAAGCTTCCTTGCATAAGTGGTGGAATTTATTTGGGGTTTTTTAAGAAAGACCCTGAAATAATAATCAGAGATTATTTGATTACAAGTGTGCTGTGTACATTAGTTACTGATTAATACAAACCTGACCTTTACTTTTTGGTAAACCTAGACTAGATGTAGTGTAATTATAATTATTGTCTTTTAAATTTTAGAAATGCAGGGACTTTATCCACTTAAGATGTATTGTTTACTCTTAATTATACAATGTTGCATTAAATTTGTGATTTTTGGTGCTTGTTTCCTTTTTACAGGCTCAGGTGTCATGTCATAGAAAGTAGTAAGCCCTCTTCTCTGACATTAAAAGACAATGCATTTAATAATCCAGCAAAAACTAATGAAGATTTACATATACAGGTAATAGTGGATTCCTTGTGCTGAATATTCAGCAAAATTATAGAATATGCTAGAGATAAAAAGAATTTTTACTGAACCTTTTTGGTATTTTGTAAATTACACTATTTGAACATCTCAGCAATTGAAAGTAACTACATCAGTGATAGTGATTTAATTATTTTGTTCAATGATGTAATAATCATTAAATTTTCAATGCAGTTTGCTCATTTTTCTTGTGAATATACAGATATAGCATATCAATGAACATCAGTTCAAGCTATCTCTTTCTTCTGAGTGTAAAGATGTCATCTGCTTGATGCAGGCCATATTGGTTATCCTTAACTTAAGATTTGAAGCTGTAGTGGAACAGATTCCTGAAGTATGTAATGATAGAAAAAAGGTATTGCTGAAAGACCACTGAGGGAAGGCTTTTTCTTTTCTTGTCTGTGGTTATGCTTATTGCCAAAATAGCTCAAAATTGCCAAGTACTTTCAAGTGCAGTAATTCTAACTTAATGAAACTGTTCTATTTTCAGCTAACTCATTTACTGCAGATTAATAGACGTCTTGAGGAGCAGATGAATCGCTGCCTCTGGTTCCAGCAGCTGTCAGTTGTTTTATCACTGCTATCAGTTACTGTTGCTGCCTTCTGCTTCTACCTGGCGAATGCCCAGAGAAGCTAAAAAGAATTGCTGTGCCCTGGATGTGCTGCTGCCTGTCATGGTTCATTGGAGTCAAAAAGATTGCAGTGTTGCACTTCTGCCAAAATGAAGTTTGTGAGCCTACAGCAATGAACAAGGAACAGTTCACTGGGGAAAAAAAAGATAGAAGAAATGAATGACCAGCAAACAAAATTACTGAAATTATTGTCTAAGTTGATACTTACAATAGGGCATGAGGAAGATGTTAAAGCTAGGACCTATTTTCACTGTACAACTCAATAAAAACTACTGACCTGGAAGGAGGAAACCAAATACAACATTATTTAAGACTGTTGTGCTTTTTCCCCCTCTATTCAACTACTTTAAATGCAATATTTAATTTCTTTTCATCGTATTCATTCTTACATTCTGAATCACTCCCATAGAAGATGCAAGCAGTCAACTTAGTGTATTCCAAGGTTAATCTGTTCATCCAGGAAAGTTTACAGAAATTATGTAGTACAGGTGGATTTTTTTATATAATCTGTGTATATACATGCACATAAAGGAAGACATTTGTTGTCAGTAATGATTTTGATAATTCACTCATTGTTCTTATTGGTTAAATTCATTATTTTTGTGCTTCTTCTAAATGAAAAGTTATTGTAAACGTTTCTTACCATGTAAAATACGCACAAGACAAGACACTATTCCTATTCTCTTGTTTTGTTTTTTTTTGGAAGGCACTTCTATTCAAATTACAGGAGGAGTGTGGGAGCTGACTTCTTTACTGTGATGTCCTATTATTGGTTCATAAAAAGGCTATTAAATATTCAGTGTAAGAACTTAGTCTGAGTTGTGCAATACGGTTAAATTACATATGAAATTTTGAAAAAAAGCAAGTCAAATCAGAAAGATTAAATACACTTGAAGGCAACATAAAAGTATTATATCTGCCATTTCACAGAAATTGTGTAAATGGTGCATGAAGCTAGAAAGAACTTTGCTAACAAGGATTCTTTGTACTCATTACTGTAAATATGTACATTAAAATAATAAAAACTTAAAAGGAGACTGATGGTATCTTTCATACACTTAAAATTTTCACTCTTTAAGAGATTTGAAAATTTAAAATAATTATATTACTTGAATTAATTTTTTCTACAAATTGGCTTTGTAACAGATTTATTAGTTTTGTCTGTTAAATTCAATAGATGAGAAGTGATTATTAAGGAAAAATAAAGGTCATACTCTGCTTCTGTCTTTTTGCTTACAGTGTGTTGGTGATGTAGGATCATTTCATGGAAATAGAAAAATAGAAAAAGAAAAATAATAAACAGATTAACTAATAAAGCCAGCAATATGATTACTAAAAAAATGCCATGTAAAAAGCAAGGCTACAGGAGTGTTTGGTGCACAGTCTTTTGTCCTCTCTTAATTTATACAATGGTTTACTACATCTGCTTTTTCTTAATTTTTCACTAATCTCACTTCTGCCTACTTTGTTTCTCATTATTTTGTATTCCTAACGATTTGGCAATTTATATTGTTAACTGCTTATAATGAAGCTGTTACTTGGGTCATTTTTATGTGCATGCAACTCAAATGCTTTGCTTCCAACAAAATGGGTTGTTATCTTAGTGAGAAAAGTAACAAAGTAATTTGTAACCTTAAGATAATAATAACCCTGCTATAAAAATGCCCATTCCTTAATTTGAGTGGATTGAATAGCACTTTACTGTAAAATTACCAGAAATATATTCGTAGAGTCTTTGCCAATATGAATATTTTAATGTTTTGGTGCTTTCATATATTTTCAGTATTTTATTACTTATTTTATTATTGGTATTTTCTTTGTATGAATCAGATGAACATCTTTTCTATTTTAATATGTTTTAGAAAAATACAATTAAAAATAAATATGAGGAAATACATAGTCTTGAATGTTTAGTCTTTTAAAAATAGCTGCATGTCCTGAGGGTTTTGCTTTCTTGTTAGTCTGCAGATACTTAATATGGGATGGATCAATACGGTGATGACCCATAGTCTGATGTAGAAGTTGTGGTGGTACCTGTCAGACAAATGTAAAATAGGTGATAATGGCTTCTCAGACCGTATGCATGACATAATCACACAAACATGCTACTGGCATGTCAGTGGTACCAATGGCACAGGGGATACAAGTCCACACAGTGCTAATATACATATATGGATCTTGGGACAATGACCTACTGTTTAAACAACACACAGAAAATGGAAAAATATATATGACAAAAAAAAGGGCAAACTGACAGTAGTGGTTTTTAACTTGAAATGTACAACAGTCAATTTGTATTTTTCTTCTTAAAAAAACATCATTGTTTCCGTCATCACAGAGTATTTTCCCAGAATTTTCAAAGCATTCAGTTGTTAGTGGTTTCAGATTTTGTTTGACAGCCCTTGGAAATGGGTCTCAGTGGAGAAAGTTTTAACAGTATGCTTAACACACACTGAAGTTACAGAGTAATGTGACTTGATACCCAAGATCAAGAGAAGAAACTAAACTTTTTCACATTATGAAAAATTCAGTTTATAAAAAGGATTTTAGAATTTAGGCAATTCACAAAATAGGATTTGATCACATGAAGTATCAAGATCTAAGATTTAGTTTTCCTTTACCTCATTGTAGATTGGCCGTTAATTTTGTTTTTTACAGTCAAGAGACAACAAAGATTGTAATCCTAAAATTTAGCAATTTGTACTCCAAAAAAGCACATACTCTTTTTCCTAGCAAGGAATTTTTAAAAGCCCCTTCTGAGCTTCATTGTTCTACTTTCCTGTGTAAAAGATCAGACATTTTGTAAAAGAGAAAAAAGAAACCAACATGGGGATGAGGGGCAGCAGGAGCAGGAGTTTTAAATTACTTTTGTATTCTGTCAGTGATTCCCTGCTGTAACTAATTTGTCTCTGTTGTTTGCCTTCAGAATCTCAGTTTGTCCCTATTTCCAGAGGCTGTTAGTTCATAGGGGATTTTTCGACTGTATTTTATGGGATTTATTTATTTGACTGGGATTTTATGGGAGAGCATTTTAAATCTATGCAGTGTCCTGGTGGTCCTGTGTATTGCACTGGCAGCATGAGGACGTAAATGCTGTTCTGCTGATAAGCACAGTGTTAGTTCACTCAAGTTCTATGGCTTTGTTGTGAAAGTGGGCATTCAGTCAGAATAACAACATTTTGCAAAGCCCATCACAGCTGGCTGTAAGAATGCACTGGTTTGGGTCTGGTGTAGCCCCCTAGGGTGTTGTGTTCAAGACAGTCTACAGAATGTGTATTGATTTAGGAAGAGCTAATCACTTCTAATCAGCCAGGAAGAGCAGGTTGTGTCCTCATTTCTGAGGTTAAAGAAGACATTTCAGTCAGTCTCTGCAATGCGTGTCTGATTTTCCCTGGAAGATGGCTCACTGAGGAATTACCAGCCTGGTGTGGTGCAGTTGCTACATTTCCATTATGTTTGTGCTAGCACAGGTATGTGATGATTCCAATTAGGCTTTTCAGTATCCCTGCTTCCTTGGCACATTTCAGCATCAGCAGCTTCTGGCTCTGTGTCTCCTGCAGCTGATGAGAATCATAGCCTCCCTCTTTCAGTTTTCTCAATAGTTTCAGTCCCACTTTTCAATTGGAACCTCACTATTCTTGTTTTTGACACTTTTATAGTGGTTGCACACAGTAATACAATATACATAGAATGCAGAGACACAACTCGAAACATAAAGCACAGGAAATCCATCTCTCCAGGAGCATGGGGTGAGTTTTCCTTCTTTGTGGAGGAACTGACTGAAGTTCCACGTGCTGGCCTTTTCTGGGCTTGATACAGGCAGATTCCTGGTAGGTCTGTGCAATTACTGCCTTGCTACTTCTGAGCACAAGCACTGAAATTCCCAAGTTATATGAGCAAAAATAAGCAGCTGAACAGATTTTTTGCGGTAGGTATCTCATTTCCTGGCTTTCTTTATTCCCAAAAGTGGTGCATCAGCCTATCTGTTGGTCATGTTCTACGTCACGTCTGTTTTCCTAAACACTGAAAGAAGCACTGTGTGCTCAATTATTGCTGTATGATTGCAGCTATAGCACTTGTTTTATTAGGTAATTCCTTCTGATGTTAGTAATGAAGTCCTTATAAAAAGACCTTTAAGGGAAAAAAACCCAACTAATTATCAGTTGCCCATTGTTATTGTCTTCACCAGAACCTGAGTGTAGCAGCAGCCCACCCAAAGAACTACTACAGTCTTTCTCATGCCAGTTCAGGGTCTCTTGATATGTTAGTAACTCTATATTCAGTTCTAATTCTCTTTACACTAGTCGTGCTATACTCTATTGGAGTTGTCTGAAATGCTGGAAAACCTGGATATGAAACAAGAGTCTGTAACTTTTTATTATTTATCTTTCATTTTCTTCAGGCAGTGATAGAAAATACTCATTATTTTACTGTCACTTGGTGGTTTCACACAAAGTATTTTTGAAGGTTTTCCTTTCTCTTAAAAATACCTTGTTAGAATGGTGGTACATTATGTGTTTCATTCTTCTTGATAATTCCATAAGATAGGCCAGCACCTGATGGTGACTCAGCTGGCAAGAAGCAGTGATTTCTTTGAAAGTACTCAAAAGTTTTCTTTTTCTTTCATTTTTGCCAACACAACTCACTGTGCTTCTCTTTTCTTTAGTCCTGATAGGAACTTCCTCCTGAATCTACACAAATTTACTCAACTGAGGAGTGAAAAACTTGGCCTGTGGGAGCTTCCCAGAAGGAACAGATAGTTGGATATGTACTTTCTGTTACAGACCCAGCTACAAATAAGAGGGCTCATCTACTCATACTCTTCCAGTACATGTCTGTAGTATACTGAGAAGTAGATGCATAATGAACTTCCATTGCAGCTCAATGAGGAAATTGACCCCATAGGTCAATGTTATCCAGACAGGAGGGCAAAGTAGAAAATGCTACATAAGGATATGGTCTTACCCCAGCAGGCTATATAAGGGGTCTCTCTAGAGTAAATGCCCCCCTAATTAGGCCTTGGGAAAGGGATCAAAACCAATCTTGACAGGTTCTGAATCACTGTGTTTCCCTTAAGTTTGCAAAGAAATACAAGACAAGAGACCAAAGTCCAAGTCTCCACTATCAGTCCCACCATAACCACAATCCCATTTTGTGTTGATGATGAAATCTAAATTAAAATATCCTCTGGGTAACCATGATGCAGTGTAACAAATACTCTGTGGCACTTAATTTCTCAAAATTACAACTTTCTTTTATTTCCTCAGCCCTGTGTCTGTTAAAGCCATTGCCAGTTTTATTTTTGACAGCTTGGAGGTATATCTGAACACCTGTTCTTCAAGCCACAGAGAAAATGACAAAAATAAGGAACACCATTTAAATAAACTTAGATTACAATGGTAGTGTCGAAAAGAACCATTAATAGTTAATATCTTTAAGGTTTTTTTCTAGAATGCTACAAAATGCTATAAATTGCTGAACAGAAAGGTGAGTCTGGGCAAACACCACAAATGCTTCATCAATTTGGTGCAACTAAAATTTACAGATTGATGCTTGACCTCCTGGCATCTGAATTACAATGATTTCCATGCCTGCAGTACATTTTCCTGTAACTAAGTAGCATTTATCATATTTTCTTTTTTCTTACAATTTTATTTGGAATTTACACTTGCAGCTGGTGATGATGATTCACAAAAATATTTTTTTAGTGCATTCTAAAGAAAGCAGCATTTTCTTCTTGAGTTCATGGTTTAACAGGACTTTATCTGCAAAGAGGATGTATGAATGTGGCTCCTGAGTGTGGTCTGGGGTTAGGTGGGACACCTCAGAACAGGAGTGCTCATTCATGCTAATTTGTTGCAATTTTTGACTGCAATCCTGAACAAATATGTATTGAGATATATATATATATATATATAATTCCAGATACTGCTCTTCCAGCAGGCATTGTGATGTGTCTTCCTACCACTCACACTGGATGTTGATGAAGGTGAGAGCAAGTGTTAAATCATATGTTCCTAACCCATACTGAAAGTAGACTCCAGTATTCCTATGCTAGCTGTCCCATATTGGTGTATAGATGAGGAGTATGGGAAACTGGTACAGGCACTCTGTTCTGAGAGTCTTCAGAGAGAGCATTCACTTACTCCAACAAGTTCCCAAATTGAGGAGAAATTGCAAAAGCACCAGAGAAAGAGAAACTACTTCATTTCACTTCTTTGTCTAA